AATAAATTGATCCAACTGACCTCTTTCACTCAGAAGCGTTACTTCAAGAACAATGGTATATTAGTTTCAAGTTTAAAAAACTAACTAAGCAATAATATTCACCGATTCGCCCATCGTATCGTTTTTTTTCGCTTTTTTAAAAAAACCTTTGAATGATAAATAAAGTATATAAGCAAGCACTCGATTACAGTTATTTATCATCTAACGTCCGAAAATTTAATTGTTTCTTAAGAATATTTGTTGGTAAATAACCATTATCATCTGAATATCTTTCTGGTATTTGTGTTTACGTTAATATTTATAAGATGGTATTATTACTCTAAATGAAATTAAAATGTAATTATTTTCAAGTAATTTTAAAGTGATTGTGGTTTACTGCCTATGATGAAGGTCGTTATGCTTATTTAACTTTTTTGTTATTGTTATAATTGGATAAATGTGCATTATTGGTGGCTAACGAGTTACAGTTACACAAAAAAAAAAAAAAAAAACAATTAATTTTAACATTTCAATTGATGCTAAACTACAGGTTACAAATTAAATTATTTAAATTTATTATATACAATAGAATTACAACAATAGCTCTAAAGAACTTTCGACAAAAATATAAAACAAAAAAGTATTAAAAATCTTAACCAACATACTTGTACAAATTATAAATAATACAAAGATGGTTTGTAGGTACTTTATTTGTACTTACATTTTGCTGAAAATGATTATTTTTATTAATGTTCACAACTAAAACGCATTTCCTTAATGTTAAGTCATATTTTATAGAAGTCTATTTATGACTTTTTGTATTTCGTAACTTCGAATAAAGTTTAAAAATATTATAGAATATTGTAGCAATATAAGTTTTCATTAATCACCGGGAAAAATTTTTTAAGAAAAATAACCAAACAATAACATATATTAACACCAGTTGATTGATACTAGGTTTAGCAACAAAATTTTATAAAAAAAAAAAAATGTTGTTTTTATAACAGTAATTGTATCTATTTAAGTGTTATGTTTTTTATATAAAAAACGTCTCAACGGATATCTATGTTATATACAGATTGCATAAACCATTTTGAAATCTGTATGTGTGTCTATGCAATACAAAAGTTCTTTTGTTAATCATTCGGTTACCTTTGCTAATATATTTTCAGTGACTTTATTACGACTTCATAGATCATCGACGTCATAACATAATCCGTTATACGTATACACACTAATCTTGGTCACAAATGTTCGCAAACCAAGCAAATACATTATTGTCTTTGCTACACAAGCGGCGTGCACGAATAGAGGTGTCCAGTGGTATCGCTTAAGCACGGGCCAAGAATAATAATTATTGTTGTGTTAACAATGATTGCAACAATATTGGCCAACAATTATTGTAAACGCGCGACCATTATTTTTCCTCGTAGTTACGATTCGTATACCGAGCTCAGCCGTCGTCTGTCGTTCGCGAAACCGAATACGTTTTTCCGAGCGCGATGAGTGAAAAATCCGATGCTCGTGCGCGGACAGACGCAGCGTTGACGACAGAATAGATAAATCGGTCGCGTCCGAAAACAACGAAAAATCGTCTTGAAACCGATCGACGATAAACAGTATAACGGCGGGCATTGATCGGAAATCGTGATGATTAACTCGATTTGAACGTCGTCCGAACGGACGGTAGGACGAGGACGTGGCGAGTGAAAAGAAAAATACCAACGGTACAACGCTCGTCGTATAACGGGTAGACGTGTATCGAACGCGCGCGACGAGAGACAATGTAAAAAAATTAATCCACCACTAGCCGCTGCGCGGAAAAAATATTGTTCGCTGCACTCGGCCCGTCGTCACACGGTCCAGCACTATTCGTGGTAAGTATCTAGATATCATGTCTCTCATGTTCCGCTAACGACCTAATAGGACTTAATAAAAAAAAAAAAATAAAAAAATAAAAAAATTAAAATAATTATTATAATAAATTGTCACAAAATAACGATCTTAATATTTCGGTTTGTACATGATCTGTAACTATCTCATAGTTTCTTTATTCTATGCGATACAATAACAAATATACTCGTATTATTAAACAAGATATCCATTGTTCAATATATATATGTATATATATATATATACTTAACACTGACCTTCGTTCAGAATCGTTTCTCGGACATGATGGTTTACCATGGCTTTCAAATGCACACAAATAAGACTAACATGATAGCATTGGTAACTAAAATTATGAAGGACAAACATCGGCCCCGGTGTCCTATCAGCTTTTTTCCTCCGATAATTTACGAGAACCCTGTGTATGTGGTATGTACAATTGTAGGTTAATACTTTAACATTAAAATCGAACGCAATAAAAATATTCACGTAAGCTTAGAGTAAAATGTTTTCAAGTTACCACGACATAATAACTCAATTATTGACGAAAATTAACGTTCAATCATAAATTCAAAACCATTCTGTTTTTTTTTTTTCGTTAAACTTATGTTTATTTTTGAATAATATTAACATTCTTACAATGTTGGAACGTATAACAGTATAATAATTACCCTAGTCGACTATTTCTGAAGAAAAACTTTTGATAAATAGTTACTAATAAGAAAAATATTCATTCAAAAATAAGTTAACTATAAACAAATTATTTCAAGATAAATGGCCACAACTATTACAATTTCAGCTATATCCAAAATCCATACATTGTCAATTCTAAAATAGTGTATGACAATTATAATCATTGAAGACAAGTGAAGGAAAAAAAAAATCAATAAAATATTTATTATTACAGCCTTCGTCCATTTTTAGTCGTGCAATAATCTGTGAGTATACTGCAAGTTCATAATTATGTACGCATGAAGCGTTAAAGCATCACCTAACCTTAAACCTATTTCGTTCCAACTTATTATTACACATTATTATATCGTAGAAAAAATATTACTTTTAAATACACATCCTGTCCGTCGAATATTTTGAAAATTTAAAATGGCGAGGTAATTCAATTGACATTATCTCGTAATTATATTAGAAGGTTCTTATAGAGTACGATATAAATACGAATTATTTATCTAATTTTTTTTTTTTTTTATTAGATTAACAATTGTTTTTTAAATGAGCTTTGAAAATCTTACGACTTTTGTTAAAAAAAAATATTGTGAATTTATTTAAAATCAAATCGATTTATATGTATGTTTATCGTTCCTAATGCTTCTCTTTTTTTAATGCGATCGATTAAAAAATTTTATACTCAACGCGGTTTGAAAATTCGTCATTGATAAACTATTTATTGAGTGGTTGTTTTTGAGTACATACATTCGTTATGTGCGCATTTTCAAATATGTAGGTATGCAAGTAATTAAGCATTGGACAGCGGATCGCAAGGTGAGAATAATGACAATAAAAGCGATACAATTACAATAACAATCGTTATAGTTGTTTAATTTGTGCTTTAAAATAATTTCACAAGTTAAATATATTGTTTCAAAATATTAATGTAACAATAACTATAGGACCGCAGATATGAGTATTTTTCGAAAATTATTTTTCAAATCTTACAAACCAAGTGACTGTAATTTATACAAAACGGATGACTGCAAGCGCATACAATTTATGACTGTAGCGGTTTGACGCAAAGTGGTAAGTCGTGTATTGACTGCTAATAAATATATATTACGTTAGGTTAGGTTCGGTTCGGTACCATTGTTATTGTAAGGTTAGCAATAGATTCGGTTGGAAAAAAATCGATCGATTTAAACGGATTATTTGACGTGCGGGGAAAAAAATTGAACCACTATGACTATTGAACAATGAACGCGCCGTTTAACCGTTGAATTAATTAACTATTATTAATTTAATCAACGAGAAGCTTGTATAGACACAATTCTAGTGCTGTCTACAATTTTTAACAGTATAGGTACGTCGTACAGTCCGTCCGACGAATTTCAGTGCGGTATTCAACGTTCGTATATGCTTGTATTTATACGTTTCGCAAGAAACCAGGATGATTAAATTTTAATAATAACAATGATAATAATAATATCAACAACAACACGTTAAACTTTGTGCATAAATGTCCGGAAAAAAAAATCTGTGTTACACTACGAACCTTATGATCAAATATTTATATTGCGGTGTTCTTATTCGACCGAGAGTGTAAAAATTGTACGTTGCGAGCGTTTAAGTTCTAAAATTTTGCGTGTACAAATATTTCAAATTTGTTGTTATAGCTAAATGTCTTATGAAATACAAGTATTCAAATTAAAAAACAAATAACTCGTAAGTGAAGACATAATGAGTGTATACAACAGCTTTAACATTCACTGTCATTCACTGTCGCGTCAGAATTTAAACCACAATGTAAGGTAGGCCATACAGGCTTGTTTGAAAGTAAATTTAAGTTTTAAAATAGTTCTTGGCGTGAAAGGTTGATATCTTTAAATTATACTAATTTTAACTAGGTATCTTATTATCTAATGTGAGTAATATTAAGAGTACATCAAACAGTCAAACAGAATAACGTAAAACAAGTACAAAATAAAAATATTCATCATCATTGGATGAATTATGTGAACTTGATTTCTGTATGGTATAGTTCGTATCGTGCTAAAATATTAATACGATCGCATTATGTCTTAACACAAATAATTTATTCAATTATTATTATTTTTGTACCGATTAAGAGTTTGATCAAGGCGATGGACCCGGGCCTACTACGTGCCGAACACGTCATTATTGGCACGCGGCGGTAAAATTAACGTGTAGTTATTAACGTAGCGAAATTCAACGGTGACATTTTCGTCGATAAATTGTACGTTTAGTCATGATGGTCGATAAAAAAAGACCAAACGGAAATCTTATCACGTCGTAAAAATGTATTGAACCAAACATCAACCGCCATCATATGTGATCGAAAAAAAAAAAAAAACCGTGATCGCCATGTTTACAAACGGGGATTACCGCGGATCTGACTCGAACCGGTTAAAATAATGTGGGTATATATAAATATATATATATACATTTTGCTTACTGTCTAGGGAATGGACGAGATAGGCGCCGTGCGATGGTGGTCCTGCGACAATCGTCCTGGTACCGCGATCGTGTTCCGTGCTCAGGGATCTCTGACGACCGGTGGCCGCAGCACTATTTAACGAATATGTGGTACGCGTCGAGCCGACGAGGAAACGAAACGACGCCGAGGGGACAATGACGACGACGAGGACGACGATGACACACGTAGAAGAGCGGTGCCGGAGTAACTGGCCGCCGACGCCACCGTGCGTACCGGGTCTGGTCGCAGCCGAGGACGGTCTCTCCTCCTTCCACAAAACGCGGTTGTATTATACACTCGCGTTATTATAATACATCTATACACGCCTTGTAACAAGCAACTGTTTGCACGTATATAGTATATATTTTTTTTCGACAACGACTGTAATAATAATAATAATAATAATAATAATAAATTTACGCACTACGTCGTTCTCCTCTCCTTCCCGGACCGAAATAATAATAAAATCGGTACCGATGCAGCTGTATAGTAGTGATGCAGCAGTTGTCCAGCCGCTATGCCACAGTCTGCGCCTTCACATTATTATTATTATTACGCGCCGCCGCCGCCATGTGTCCCACACTGTACCGACTACGCGGCGGGCGACGTATATGTACACGTATAGTGCACACAATAGCCGACAGTTCCCCTCGGGTTTTGTACCGGACGGTGTTCCGATTATTTTACTCGAACCGTAATGCCTCGCGCACGGGCCGACATATTTCAAAAGTAAAAATGCCCGAAATCGAAGTATTGGCCGACAACAGTAAGCGAACATCGATCGCACAACGTTTGTACAGAACTGAAATACGCCGGACGAAACGGTTTGCGCAATAGTCTTGTGCAGCGGTGTCCGAATTCCATCGTTATCGTAAAACATTAGCGCCATCCGTCGAGAGATTCAAAAGCCAACGGAAAAATGTCTGCTCGAACCCAGTTTCGAAATCGAATACATTTCGAACGACTAGCGCGCTTATGAAAAAGAGAATGCTTATATGGTTCTGGGACCGTTGCACGAGCGCTGCTGGTACTAACACAGGTGCCACGGAGTGCACCAAGGCGTACGCCAGCCCTTGGAGAGCACTGTCGCGACGGAGTGGTTAGTTAACTCGCTGCGCGTGTCAGTGCCGTGACTAAACCACTCGGGACCCGGATACAAATCTCGGGGCCCCTTAGCGTTTATACATTTTTATGCTTTTGACTTTTGACGAGGGCCCCATAGCACAGTATAGGGCCCGGGCACGGGGGGGGGGGGCAACGCGCACCACGCACGCTCGGTTTTCGCGGCCCCGGTGCGCGTGCGCGTGTAACGTACGCGTTCCGAACGCGGCGCAAATGCGTCGTTCGGCGGTGCATGTTCATTCCGCTCCGGTACTTTTGCCCCGAAGATTTCGCTCCGGTCCGCGCGTCTCGTATCGAATACGCATGCGCGAGCGCGTACCGGTGTGTACGTTACACCTGTACACCGTACCACGAATGCGTGTGCCGCGTGCCCGTGTTGCACACGAGTCGGGTTCGAAACGCTCGCACGCACGCGGACGAGTGCACCGCCGTCCGGTCGCATCCGCCGCGTCGCTCGCGCGTTGTCCGCTCGAAACGAGTTTCCCTCGCCCGCCCCGCGCCGCCACCCACCACGCGCAGGTTCTTCGTCTGTTTGTTTATTATTATTTTTATTTTTCCCCCCCCCCCCCATCCCACCGGCCGTCAACCCGTCGGTCTTCGTCGTTCGTCCGAGATGTGACGTAGCAGTTTTACGAGCGCGCACATAAGCCATACGCGTGTACGCGATACCGGACTCCGGGGAGCCGTGTGTGCGGGAAGGGTCGAAACGGATAGTAAAGAACACACGCTACAAATAAATACCTGGCCGCATGTGGCAGGACTGAATCACATACCGTAGCTGCCCCGTTGGTGTCCGAGTGGCAGACGAGTAGCGCGTTATCGTGGCGCGGAGACGCGACGAATGAGTGTCGTCAGGGCGAAAACCTGTCTTAATGCGCCCCCCCCCCTCGCCCGTAGCTATTGTAAAATATGTACCATAAAGGAATAATACGTATACAGGGCGTTTAATATATCAAATCTTAAGCTAAACGATTTCATTGAACTTCCGTGTTATCATTTTTTCTGTGGTATGGTATTACCACTGTCGCATGAAATTCTTGTCGCCTGGATGTATGTTTCTCGATTTATAACGTAGGCTCAAACAATCCTTACTCCATTAAATTCCAATAATATAAAGCAATCCAAAATAGTTTTTCATATCGATATACTGACAGTTTACTTTGTTCCATACACTTAAAAAGTACAATCGTCACACTGCCTTTCTTCATTACATTTGAATAATATGTAAAAAAAAAAAAAACAAATAATTTTCAATTATAAAGTATTATTTTTCTTTTTACCTTCAAAATCTTGTTCGACTCAAAATGACTTTTGTTTCCCCTCGACGAGCTTCTATCCCGAGTTCCCGGCGAGACAATCCACCTCGGATCGCGTGCATGCATATCCGTAGCTGCTTTTTGGACATATACCGACGGTATTGACCTTTCCATGTCTGTCTCACGTGCATTTTACGTTTAAATTTGTGGTTTTAGTCAAAATTGATATCCGAACCAACGTCTTACAACAACGTATTTTCGTGAATCTGTGAATATTACGGAAAGTTGTTCGTTGTCGTATGCTGACTAATGCACCGGACATACGGATTCAAGGTCGATTGGTCGCCGTCGTCGCGTAATCGGGTCGACGTATTATTTATACTATTACTATTATTAATGTAAGCGGCATGATACCATCCGTATCATTGATTATATGTTGTTGATATTTTTATAATTATTTTTATTATATTGCCGTCGTACCAGGCGTGTCCCCAGGGAGAGGGACGAAGGGAGCAGTCACCCCCTATAGCAATTTTAAAAAATGTATTAACAAACCCTTTGTTAACGAAATAATAATGATCAGTGATAAATATTAATAAATAAAAGGTAATAATAATATTGTATGAAAATTAATAGTACTGACAACGGTTATAGATAGATGACTGTAACCATCGCACTGGTTATAACTTACACAATGTATACCATGCATAGCCGCAACTAGGAGGGGATAGAGGGAATCACCCCCCCTGAACCAAGGTTCAACCCCTCCCCCATAAATACTCCATTTTATACATGGTAAACCGCATACAGCATACGTAACTCACAATAGTGTCACATACAAAAAAAGACACATTGTAGTAAATACAACTTGGCTCAGAATCTAAAATATATTAACATGGTATATAAGAGTAGGGGTGATTTACAGGTTATTTTAAATTTTGATAGGAGGACTGTAGCCCCCTCCCCCGAAATTTTTTACCCTATTTGCGCCTATGACATCACGAACTATAGATATTCCATAAAGTAATAAAATTATGAGTAATCCTTTACTTTTCGTGATTATTCAAGTTTTCAAAAGTATATTTGCTGTACTTGGATAATGTTTAATTGTCACCTAATTGCTTGCTTTTTACTTCATGCTTTTTAGATTAAAAACTTGGTTAAGAAGCCAAATGGGGCAAGATAGATTAATTAGTATTAGTGCATGTACATTAATAGTGAAGTTTTTCGATCACAATCGTGGGTCAAATATTTCAAAGCGGACGAAAAAATACGCCATTCTTAACCGAATAAAATTAGCTTCCAAAATGTGTGAATCAAAATATTTTTAAAATCAAACTCGTTACATACTTAAATTGAAAAACATTGAGATATAATTGAGAAGAATGAATAAATGTTTCACTCATCTAAAAGCAAAACTGTATGTAATTTGCCATACGAATTCAAAAATATTACATCGATTCTAATAATATACATGAAGTAGAGGCGTGTTTGTATGCTGGGCTCGGTATTAAATTCATTTAAACGTTTGTATTGTCTTTAAGTATCTATTCAAATTGGTCAAACCCTATAATATCAACACTCAAAAACTACAGGTCAAAATTACATACTACGTGTGTACATATACATTTACAAAAATATTAGTACTGTTATGTAGATCGGATTTTGGTGACGAATTGTCTACAACTGATTATTATCAACAAATAACTCTGAAAAGTATATCAGTATATCACACCTCCGTAAGATTATTTTCCGTTCGGATAAAGTTAAGAAAAATTTTGGAAAATTATCAAAAAGCAAAAACGCTTATATTTTTTATTTTTTTATTAAAACTTTAATTAATAAATCTGTAATTTATGATCACCATGTCCATAAGCATATGTGTAGATTATAATAATTATAATCATTTGTTGATCACTTTAATGCACGTTGATAAAAGCAGCCAATGCCCAATGCTCAATGCCTCATGTTTTTTGTTTGAAAATGTTTGAGGACACGCATTGAAATCAGGGATGTTAAATAAAATATTGTGTTATTGTTCTTACATATGCATCTCAAAAAAATATTTATAATTAAATCATCTTATTCATACACATATTCAAATTTCACACTGCGAAAAGTTTGAAACGCTTCGCACACGTATTCAACCATACAATTATAACTGTTTGGTTGTGCACAATTTAAATGTAAATTCGTACGTGCATTTAAGTTTAAAATGTGTACTACTTATTACATTTCACTATACGTATATACTGTATAGTAAATACTAATACACCGGTATGTGTCAGTCGTTCGTTAACTATATGTATTGTATATAAGCTTTTCTAAATCTAAATTCGTCTTTGTATTACAAGTACCTCCATTTGCAATACATGAAAAATAAATGCTATTTGAATGCGAGATTTCAAAAAATCGACGCCTAGACTATGTCTTGAAAACTTGTGAGCAGGAATCTGAAACATCATGAACGTTTTTTCGTTGCGACACTCATAACATTCAGGAAGAAAATCAATTATTAAGTCATAAATCATAATGATATGAGGTTCGGTGTAGTGTCACTGTAGCAGGCCTACGATAATTTAAAACGGTATTATAAGAACTTTCACAGCTCACACGTCGTTTAGGGTTTTCTCATTCTCACCAGTGCAGTGCTCGTATAATGACATCGATGTTTACTATGTATGCAATATTATTGAAAACATCAATTATGCAATGAGAATTAATGTTTTCGTGGTGTCGGTTCCTGGTATACCGTGGATTAGTGTAATGCATAATAGTTAAACTAAACTATTTACCTAAGTATACCCAACATAGGCCGCAAGAGGACATCTATGTATAGGAACTACTGGTCATTCTGTTAATTTGTTACATATATGTTATAATATATTATAATAGACAGAATTTTAGTTCATCTATTAATTGTGTATAACGATAACTGCGGTAACCGTTATCGTAGAAAACTATAATTATT